AATCAATTTGATTTTAATTACGAACCCATTTGGGAGTTTAATTAAATATTCGATTCAATTTAGTAAAATTGAGATTCGATTAATTAGGTCCTAATTGGAGATAATTAAGTTAATTAAATTATGAAGATTGAGAATTGTGATTATTACAAATAAAATTTATTTATGGGGTGTCCAATTTGAATATGTAATTTACTTGACGGAAATTTGGAATCTGATTAGAAATTGAAGACCTAAATGATTTGAGGAATCAAAATTGATGATGACGATAAGTTTAATTAATATTTGGAGCCTTTTGGGGGTTTGATTAGAAATCTGATTCAGAATGATAAAAATTAAATATAATTAATTGGGCCTTAATTGAAACTAATTTGACTAATTAAATTATGTGGAACTTGTGATTAGATATGATTAATTAAATTATGATCAAAATTATCTCAAATGATGTGGTGATTAATTAAGCTAATGGATAATCAGTGTAATGATCTAATCAAGTTAATTAAATAAGATGAGAGAATTGGAGTATTCTAGAAATATGGGAAACGAGAAAGAGAGCTTATTACCTATATATGCAGTGTAGTCACCTCTGCTGGAGCAAAACCATGGGCCTTAAAAAAAAAAACGAAAAAAAAAAAGTGGAATAAAGGAAATGAGTGTAAGCTTTACATCATCTATGTTTATGCTTTTGGCTGTAGCAAGAACAACCGAGTGAGAGGGAGAGAAAACCGTGAGTGAAAGAGAGAAAAGAGGGCTCAACTTTTAAAGAAGGAAACCCAAAGTTGTGCTGGAAATTGTAAAGGAAGAAGAAGACTCAAGGAGAAATCATCAATTATCTTTGAAATTAGAGCTTGAGGTATGAAAATTATACTTAATTGATGTAGAATCTTCATATCGCACTTGAAATTAAGAAAGTTATGAATCAATCTCATGAATTTTGTAAGAAGTTGAGTTAGGTTCATGAGCATGGATAATAAATTTAGAAATTAATAATTTGAGTGTGATTTTGTAGTCATGCATGAGATTATTGTTACATGCATAAGCAAATTTATAAGTTTTAATACTCTCATCTTGGATTTTGAAGAATTTGAGCTAATCAACTCATGTTTTGAAGATAAATGAGGTTTTGATTTTAAATCCCTAACACATGTATATAATGTAATTTAAAAGTTTAACTCAAATTAAATATATTATGGAACATTTATGATTTAAGGAAATAAATTTGGAAAGTAGTTAGTTTGAATTTGAATTTGGATTTGGATTTGATATGAGAAAAATTAATAAAAATCTAAATTAGAGTAATTCAAGATTTTAATTATGAATTGAGCTTGACTATGTAGAATTGGTTGGATTTTGATAAATGTTTCATGCATGCAAATAATTTTTTTAAGGAGTTTATAACTTTAATTTCATGTTTTAAAGGAAAATAGAAAGAGCTTGAAGTCAATTTTATATAATTAAAAAGAAAGTGAGAGGTTGGAGTTATGTTCATGATTATGAAAATTAACTTAGAAATTAATTATTTTGGGTTTGATTTTGAATATCTTATAGGAATTTGAGCCTTATTCTTATATGCATGTAATTTGGAAAAAATTAAGGAATTAATTCATGAACATTGTTAAGGTTAATCAATATAGAAACAATTATAATTCTTCAATTGAGCTTGGGTTTGGAAACCTTGATATATATGAGATGTAAATTTACATGCATCATAGATTTCTTGGAATTGATTTCATGTTTTGATGAAATAAGAACTCAGCTTTGGAAAATTATGAATTTATGAACATATGAGTTCAATTTTCGAATTAAAGGAGTTTGATGTAAATGATTTAAAATTGATCGTATTTTCTTAATTATTTAAGAATTGTATGTTTTTAGATAGGCCATGTATGAACCCAAGTTTTGAAATTATTTTGAGAGCTCAATTTAAGTTTTGGAATTTATGAGCTTGGAGTTGGGCTTGATATGAGGAACATGAGTTGAGTTGAATTTGAGATTCAAATCTTGTAAAATTGGCCCTTATATTCATGTTAAAAGTTATATGGTGGAAATATGAGTTTTATGATATTAATTACATTAGTTGGAACCAAGTTTTGAAGCTCAAACATAATCTAGAAAAAAACCAGAATTTGACATGTCCGCTTGAGTGTGGAGAGCCTCGCAAGAGCATACCCTGTTTTACTAGACTTCTCACTTGAGTGTCAAAAGTCTCACTTGAGCGTAATTTGCAAGCAACCAGTATTTTTGCAAACCAAAGGGGTTCGCTCGAGCAGAAGGCCCTGTTTCAGAAATTTTGAAAAGATGTTTTATGCTTCGTCTTCCGTTCTCTTTCATTTCAAAGCACTCTTAGGCATGCATTAAACATTGCAGAGGAATTAGAGAACATGAAAAGAGCCTAAGAATGTTAAACAAGTTAAAGAATGGAATGAATTGTAACATGACCCAATGTGTTATGAATTATGTAGAACACTGTGAGTAATAACATAGTAAAGCTATGTTCAACTTTATTTATTTTTTGTATGATGAAATAAGATTTGTTTTCTGAAATACCATGTTCTGTACAATGAATGGTTGTCCAATTTCTGACATGTATTCGTGGCATCCTTAGCATCATATGATATCTGTTAGCTATTACCCAGTATCGGAGGTCCCATTATGAGACTTATGCCTCGTTTGGGAACTCTCATTTTTGGCCAAAAAGTCAAAAAGTTACTAAATTAGCTAAAAAGCCAACAACCCATACCAAAAAGTCAAAGATTCTCTTTTCTCTCTATTTTTTGCACATCTTTTCGTAAAAAGTCAAAAAGTCATCCCAAACATACTAGTTTTTTTTAGCTCATATTTTAGCCAAATAGCTAAAAAGTTACTAAATTGCCCTGTTCCCAAACGAGGCCTTATTATGTCTGTCATCTATTACCCGTACCGGAGGCTCCATCATGGAGCTCAGCATGTTTATTCTCTGTTACCTGGATCCAAAGGTTCCTTATGAAACTGGTTATTCATGACCACCATGTGTCTGCATCTGTTCTGTACCTGTTCTGTTAACGCTAATGGATGTACCACGTATGATTAAGCATGAACTCTGATTTCTGTATTTGATTTGAACGAGAATATGAATATGGATCTGTCTATGAATCTGAATTATGATTTCTGAATCTGGTATGGACATTATTCAATAAAACCCTTTACTCTATTATTATTCACTGGGCTCTAGCTCACTGTATTATTTATATATGTAGGTGAACAGTTACGTGACCAGGCTTAAAGGCATCTTCCTAGATTATGTTTTTGCCAGCAACCTATGTGCCTCCCGTGGAGGTTCTGGATATGTCAAGCGACTATGGCTATGTGATTTAAAGTTTAAGTTTTGTTTTCTTGATTGGTTAGACAAGTCTTGTGTATTTTGTAAATAGGGCTAAGTCTTTTTTTGTCTAATCTATATATATATAATGACGTAAGGATGATGTGTTTATACGTATATATATAGTTTACAACTTTTCTGTCTCATATAAGTCTGCACAGCTCAATGGACGTTATATATTTGTTATTTGCTTTCGCTAGCCCCTAATATTATGTTAATTTGTCTCAGAGGCATTTGGTAATCCCAGGATTTCTGGCCGGTTACGATGCTAAACCTATAGGGGCGAGTTTGGGTCGTAACAGCTACCACTATCACCATCGCAAACCCCTCTACCCACCGGCACTGCCATCACCGTCGTAAACCTATCGCGACCTTCTTCTGTGTATATACACAGACCTATCTTCACATCTCTTCTTCTCTCTTTCTCATTCTCTCCTTCTTTTCACAGACCTATCTTCACATCTCTTCTTCTCTCTTTCTCATTCTCTCCTTCTTTTCTTCTGTCTATTTTAAAGAGAGAATAGAGGGGGGGAAAAACTTTTTAAAATGACGTCGTTTTAGATATTTGAGCCATTCGAGCCAATATATTTGAGCCGATTATATTTGGATATACAGACCAAACCAGCCTAACCCAGCCCAGAAATTTCTATATGACAACCGGAGCTGCTGGGTAGCTCGACAAACTCATTGGCCCGAATGGCTCGATTGTTGGAAACGACTTCGTTTTGACATTTTTTTTTTCTTTTTCCCTCCTCTCTGCTTCCTCTTTTTCCATTCCCCTGGGCAATCTGAAAAATTAGAGGAAGGAGGAAAAATTGGGGCTGTATGAAGAAGAAGAAGAACCCAAAAAAATCAAACAGCCCCAAAAACTAATCTGAGAAAAAAAATCAAAATCAAAACCCAAAATCAAAACTAATTTCAGCAACAACAAAAAAAAAGAAAAGAATAAGAAAAAGAAGAAGAATAAGAAAAAAAATAGCCCTAATTTCAACAAAAAAACAAAAAAAGAGATAAGAAAACAGCCCCAATTTCAACACCAAAACAACACTAAAATAGTAACAATTTGAACAAAATCCATGTCCAAAACCCACAAAAGCCATCAAAATAGAAACATAATCTACTTATTATTATTATTATTATCAGCCTTTGAAGCACCATAAAGACTAGAGAACTAACCCTGAGGGTTGTTCTCAAAATCAGTTCTTGATATATATGCTCAAGAAGAACCATAAAGACTAGAGAACTAACCTGAGGGTTGTTCTCAAAATCAGTTCTTGATATATATACTCAAGAAGAAGGCAAAAAAAAAAAAAAAAAAAAAAAAAAAGGTCAAACGGCGCCGTTCTCGAAAATCAAGCCATTCGGAGCAAATAAGTTTCGAGTCACAAAACATTTTCCTACAACTAAAAGCATACCAGAAAGAATAATGTTTTAGAGCACTAAATTGGGAGCTCTAGAGCATCACTAATGATGTGGCACAATGACCCCACCAAAGTGATGTGATGTTTTGGCTTGAGTTTGTTTTTTTTTTTTTTTAAGTTCATTAAAGCTATTAGTCGTCCAAAAATTAGTGGAATGAATCACCACTCTACCACAAAATATTGCCACGTGGTAGCTGTGGCCCCTATGCCTATGACTTTTGTTTTTGTCCCCTCGGAATTTCCTCCGAAAAATATACATGGCGAAGCAATAGAGGAACCAGACCAATCGAGTCTATATTCAATTTTCAGTCTCTACTAGTAATAATAATACTATAATCCCCCCACGACGACCTTTACGATGCCCACAAGCGAATTGCGGTGCTCTCCGGCGCCGCCACTCCCGGCGGAGGCCGACCACGAGGAGTGGGTGTGGCCGCAGATCAAGGCGGAGGCACGGCGTGACGCGGAGGCGGAACCGGCGCTGGCCAGTTACCTGTACTCAACGATTCTGTCACACTCGTCGCTGGAGCGGTCACTGTCGTTCCATCTGGCAAACAAGCTGTGCTCATCGACACTCCTATCCACTCTCCTCTACGACCTCTTCCTCAACACCTTCTCCACCGACCCCTCCCTCCGCTCCGCCACCGTCGCCGACCTCCGTGCCGCCCGATTCCGCGACCCCGCCTGCGTCTCCTTCTCCCACTGCCTCCTCAATTACAAAGGCTTCCTCGCTTGTCAGGTCACAATTTTCACTTCTACTCTTCAACCAATATTTCCAATTTTTAGGGTCAAAATCAGCTAGTTTCGGTATTGATTATAGAAAAATGATATTTTGAGATCTACTTTCTAAACTCAGGGCTGATAATTATCTTCTTGACAGTTTGCTAAGTTAAATTTTTAGGCCTTATATAGTAGTGGTAGTAGTTACAAGTTCTAAAAAGGGTTTTAATTGGGGATCGTTTCAATCAAAAGATAGTTAATTTGGGGTACGGCGAAGGAAAAAAGAAAACATAGTCTAGTCCAATTCAGACTAAATCATATTGTTCTATTTTTATTTTTTTCCGTTCAATCTTGATTGTAAGCATAGTTAAATCCAATGGCGTCGTTAGGAATTTCACTCAATTATGAGTGTCATTATATCCTATTTTTAGTTTATGATATCACAACCTATATGAGTACTAATGGTTGATTAGCCAATTTGAAGATAATTATTAAGAAATTAATTAATACAAATCTTGTCACATACATTGAAGGTGGAAAAGAAAAAGGTTATTTCTTTTAGTTTTATAGAACTTATCAACATTAATGCTCAAATGATGCCCTATAAATTTTGATTTTATATATTCTCAGTCACATTAACAAAAGTAATTTAAACTAATCAAATTACAAGTACAAATAAAAAATTCAATAAAATTGCTCTTGTTATGGTTGGAACAAACATTAGGGAGAGAACAAATGAATGAAATGCTATGAGAGAGAGAGAGAGAGAAAAAAAATGAGGGAATGTAATGGTTGTTGGGGAATGAAGCGTTGAGAGAACATATAAATAAACAAACACTAAACTTGGTTAAGAAAAGGGAACATTTGAATAAACGAACACTAAACTTGGTTAAGAAAGGAGTAAAGTTATACAAACTAGTAAAATTTTATAAAACAAAAAGTATATATTTTTTTTGATATGTTATATTACTAAAGTGAGTTATGTTTTAATTTTCAAATTTCCATTATTGTATTACACATTTGTTAGTACAAAAATTAAAAAATTGGATGACATTTTCCTTGTAAAATACTGAAATTTTGTGTATATATATATAAACTTCATTGAGTAAATTTGTAAAACTCCAAAATTTAATATTTTGTTCCTAGATTCACCGGGTTCATTTTACTAAAACCCAAATTGAACAAAATTCGAAAAATCATAGTAGTTATGGTTTTGATTTAAAACTAATTATATACAAATACCCAACTTTTGTTATTTGAAACCATTTTCATATGGTGGACAAGCACGTGCAAGCATCTTTATGTATAAGGAAGGATAGAATAGTTATAAACAATTAATGTTACTTTGTATACCACATTGTGTTTATTACTCATAATTGCGGGATACATAATATATAAACATTTTTTATAACATTATTTGGTGTGAGCATACGATAAATGATAATATATTTTTAGAAACTATAGTTCTAAATCGAATCTTCACTGGCGTGTGATTTAATTCTAAAATTTTGATGACTTTGATTGATTCAATTTTTTTGAAACCATGAGCAGTGTAGTGATTTGATCCATTGTAATGGGAACAAAGGGGTTATAATTTCAGGCACACCGAGTGGCTAACAAGCTGTGGACTGAGTCCCGGAGGCCACTAGCGCTAGCACTCCAATCCCGAATCTCTGACGTATTCGCAGTGGACATGCACCCGGCAGCAAAGATCGGAAAAGGAATACTATTCGATCACGCGACCGGGGTGGTGGTGGGAGAGACAGCGGTGATCGGAAACAACGTATCAATCCTCCACCACGTGACATTGGGTGGGACTGGCAAGGTTGGAGGGGACAGGCATCCGAAGATCGGCGACGGGGTGTTGATTGGCGCTGGGGCGACGATACTGGGGAATGTGAGGATCGGAGAAGGGGCGAAGATTGGGGCGGGGTCGTTGGTGTTGATCGATGTGCCACCGCGGACGACGGTGGTGGGGAATCCAGCGAGGCTGGTTGGGGGGAAGGATACACCGGCGACGCATGAGGACGTGCCTGGGGAGTCTATGGATCACACCTCCTTCATTTCCGATTATATCATTTGATTTTGGTTTTTGATCTTATTTTTATTGTGCCTTTTTAATTTTGTGGGTTTCATAGTCACTTTGCTAAATGGGCCGGGTCTGTCCTGCCCCGCACATCCCTATTTATATAATGTATTGTTTGTTGGTTCACAAATGAGTTTGTTTTGTGTACACACCAAACGTGTTTCGTGTGTAAAGATCTATGGCTTATGAATAAAAGAAAAAATTAGGATAATCCTTCCTTTTTTGTAGAGTTTTTAAATTTTTGAATCAGTTTTAAAAAGAAAGAAAATAAATAAAATAAACATGTTTATGTTTATTTATTTTTTTAAAATATTATGTTTGCCACATTCATGTTGGCTCTTGTTTAAGCAAATGAGGAAGGCAAAGTTGTGTTCCATTGAGAAAATGTCAGCTGAGCCCATTGCTCAGATTTAGGAGGCCTTAATGAATTTTGCTCTGATACATTGAGATGATATTGTGCTTGAAGACCATGTTGACGAATCACCGGTTGCTCTCAATCTGTTTTACATGGGCCGAGGTGTACAAGCTCCCTACACCACCGCCACCGCTAGACAGGCAATCTGCAACAAAATATATGCTTGAGGGGAAGAATAGGATTGGCGGGTTTTGCAGTAGAATCCTTCCAGGCTTGAACAGACAGGGAAGCCGGATATGTGCTTGACACGAGGTACATGCTTCATGACATTGATCAGAATGCTAAAGACCAGGCCCTAATTCTTGCATAGCATCAGATTGTAAATTATGCTTATTAGAAGTTTATGCCTAAATCATACATAGTACAGAGAAGTTTCACCATGCTTTTTCAAGTAGCTTCATTTATTATGAACTGGTCTTACAACTTCATATGTACAAACTGTAATTGCTCCTGTCATGTTTGAAACACATGGTGGAACTATCAGAGGATACCCATTGGACAGAGAGAGAGAGAGAGAGAGAGAGTTCATGATGCTATGTTAAAGCTTGAATAAATGGTATACACATTATTGAATGGCCTCAAAGGTAGAATAGACTTGAAGGAGCAATGGAGAAGGCAACAATAACTGGGTAAAAATGAGTGGTGTTGGTTGAGTTTGAATGTTACTACGAGTGCAGGGACGACGGTTGGCTATTTCTGTTGTTCGTTACCACCTCTATAATAGCTTCATCTCTTGACGGAACTCTCAGGTACGATTTCATTACATCATATACAGTAAAGCCTATTGCAACTGATGGTGCAACCTGAATCACACAAACCAATCAACAATTCAATTCAGATCACAAGCAGAAAGAAGAGCACACCATGAGCTGCTTATAGATTCTTCTTTTTTTATTTTTTATTTTAGAAATCTGAGCTGGAGTGACTGGTGCAGCTTCTGCTTACAAATTATGAGGCAGAAATAGCATAAATAAGCTAAAACAAAGTTGCTGATTGGGAAGCAGAGAACAGGTATTTTTAGCTTCTGCTTTCTAATTATCAACTTTCAATTTGTCAACAGCTACACCAAGCAGAGCTTAGTATTCCCTAGACTGAAAACAGTAGTCACAGGATGGGTAGAGCCAAACTGGCTGACCCACCTTGGTCGGCTGGGTCAGAGACAAGCTCGGCCATCTATCCCCTTTTGCATAGTTTTATTGGTTCAGAGCACCATATGCACATGCCACGTTGGGTGGTGGTGCTCCAAGCCTATTGAATAATTTTTGGAAGAGATGATCCTCTTTAAGTTAAACAACAGTGAATCTTACGTCACCTTAATGTAGTTGATGCTGAGCCCTGAAAACAATTGCTTCCATCCTTGCCTTTGGACAATCATAACAAGGCTTTCCATTGTCCCTTTCATGTCTCCACTATTAGATGCTGAGAGTCTTTGGACCTGTCAAAGGACAGTTTCTTTTGTCTCTTTATCATTCTAAAATTTCGGTTGTGCATAGATGCAAGAACCACAGACACTGCGATATGCAATGTGAGAGAGAGAGAGAGAGAGAGAGATTACCTGCATTTGCCGCCTAACAACATCAAGTGGGTATGTGAAAGTCTGACCCAATAAACCTGCGACAGATCCACATACTAGTTTCACTGTGATATCTTTCTTGTGTTTCTCGGGGACACAGCCTTTCATTTCCTCATAGAAGTAAAACTTCAAACCAGAGTAAGGAAAGATTCCATAGAGTGATGGAGCTGAGAACGGCATTAAACATGTAAATTGCATAAACCTCACTCACAAGGATATATAATCAAAGCCATGGAAACATCACAATTACAACATACCCACACCACGATAGAGGCCTCTTATCCCGGACTCCTTGTAGGTCTTTGAAAAACAATCCACAATTCCTCTATAAACTTGGTCACTATGAACTAGCCCTTTAACATTTAACTTTGATGGTCCCACAACCTGCACTATCGAATACAAATCAGGCTTTTAACTTGAATTCTCAGAGCTAAGATATGCATTTAGGAGAGATAAAGAGAGAAAACTGGAACCAATAAGTAAATAAAAAAGGATAAATTACATAAATGGTCCTTAAAGTATAACATATATTTCATTTTGGTCCTTAATCTTTAATTTATGTGTATTACATCCTTCCTTCACACATTAATTCAACGTAGTCCCTCCCCTTAATTGTTGTATAAAAACATATGAAAAATACTTACATTAGCCTCATATCAGGTATTGAAAGGCATTGAGGACATTTTAATATGTCTATTTATGCAAAATACTGTCAAAGAACCAAACACACTATCTATTTGGCTTTTGGCAATGGAGTGAAAGGCTTTGATATGCATTTCCATGTCTCTCACGGTTCATTTACGCAGAAAATGAGACAAATTTCTCCCAACCCCCTTCAAATACCTAATATGAGGCCAGCGAAAACATTCTTAGTGTGTTTTTTAGATCACAATTAGGGTAGGAACCATATTGAATTAATCTGTGAAGTTCAAGGATGCAATTGATACAAGTTAAAGATAAGGGATTCAAATGAAATAGGTGGGGTATACTTTAGAGGTCATTTGTGTAATTTAACCTAAAATAAATAAATAAAAAATAAAAAAACACATTTCATTTTTTGAGGAGCCAAATTAGTGGTTGTTGTTAGAATAGGAATTTGTTAAAATAGGAAATATTAGAATAGGAAATAATAATTGTATTCTTATTATCTTATTTATTCCTTTTTGGTTACTAAGAATTATGCCTGTAATTCCTCAGAATTATCAATATAAAAGGGAATTGAGTCTAACTCATTCCCTAACTCTTTCTCTTCTCTAAACCTATATGGTATTAGAGCCTCAATAGGAGGAACCTAAGACCATTCAAACAACACCGTAGGACTGCCCAGGCCACCCGAAGGCAGCCCTTGGCGATTTGGCCTTCACCCAATTAAGCCGAAGGACCGTCGGCTCTCTCCAGGGCAACCGAAGAAGCCTCTGCCCTCCTCTAGGCCTGTCGGCAACCCTAGCTCATCCATATACGTCTATTGGCACTCCTGGAGTCCTCATAGACCTCGTCTGGTTCACCTCTGCTTCTGTCGGCTTTCTTGGAGGCTTCGTCGCACTCGTCTGGTCTACTCCTAGTTCAGTCGGCACTCGTCCAATCTACTCCTGGTTCAGTCACACTCGTCTGGTCTACTCCTGATTCAATCGCACTTGTCTGGTCCAATCTTGCTTCCGTAGAACTCGTTTGGTCAACCCTTGCCTCAGTCGCACTCATTTGGTCGTCTTGGTTCATTGGTGTGTTGACTAGGGTCTAATACATGGCCTAACCTTGTCGTCTTCCCTGTTTCTTTCTTAATACATAAAATATATATATATATATAAAAGTAAAATAAAATAAAAAAAATTAGAGAATCCTTTATCAGTTCTTAATCCTTTATGCTTGGATCGTGGTAGTTGGGTCTTTTCTTCCATTGTTATCTTTCGAGTTTGTGATTGGCATTTGTTTGAGAGTTAAAAAGTAGAGTATCCATGGCAGATTCCCTTAGTAAATCCACTACTTCTCAGCCACCTAAGAGCGAGAGTTCCATTATGCCTTCTACTACGACTAATAATCTCAACCCTAGCCTTAAGACCACCACCTCTATGTTCAAAGGACAGAATTATTTTGCCTGGTCACAGAGTCAGACTACTTTTTTGAAGAGCAGAGGGAAGATGGGTTATGTTGATGGAAGAATACAGGCACCCAGTACCACGGATTTGAATTATGACCGGTAAGAGATCACCAACTCCTTAATCATGGGTTGGTTGATACATTCTATGATCCGGGAGATCAGAGAGGGCTATCTCTCTATAGACACTGCACAGGATATTTGGAAGGCAGTGACTACCACTTACTCCCAGAAGGGGAACTTCCCCCAGGCTTTCGAGTTACGTCGCTCCATTGAAAGGTCAGTACAAGGTGAGATGACTATTCTTCAGTATTTTACCTTTCTTAACAATGGGTGGAAGCGACTTGATCACCTTCAGGATTACAAACTTGTTTGTCCCACTGATTCTGTTGGTTACCGAAAATTTGTGGCACAAGAATGGGTCTTTAAGTTCTTGGAAAGCCTAAATGTGGAGTATGATCTGGTTCGGAGTAGAGTACTTGGCATAGATGTGCTTCATTCTCTTCAAGAAGCCTTTGCTTTTGTGTAGAATGAGAAAAGTCGCCGCTATGCAATGCTTCCTTCTACTAATACTGATTGCTCAGCCTTGATTTCTGCACCCCCTCGTGATACTCGTGGTTCTCGTCCTTCCTCTAAGAAGGATAATCTTTTCTGTGACTACTACCGTAGACCTCAACACACACGAGAGACTTTTTAGAAGCTGCATGGGACCCTCTCTGGTGACCAAGGAGACCGTCATGGTACTCGAGGGGATAGGTCTGGTTAGTCTAGAGGCCGCGGGGCCAATGCTCGGGCACATCTTTCAGACACTGTTGAGCCACCATCTTAATCTCCAGTTGTTTCTCCTGCTGCTAATGTCTCAGGTTATCTACCTCGGATTTTGAGATTGTTCTTTGCCACTTGCTAGACCGTCAAGTCTCCACTTCTGCTACAGGTGCACCTTCTTCTTCTTCCTATGCCAATTCAGCTAACTTGGCTGCCTTCTCATGTGCATTACTATCTCATACACGTACCATGGATTATTGATTCTAGTGCTTCTGACCATATGTCTGGCTCCTCTCATTTGTTCTCCGAGTATAACCCCTCCTCAGGTCAGGAAAAAGTGCGTATTGCGGATGGTACTATGTCGTCTGTGTTAGAGAAAAGTTTAATTCATGCCACCTCTTCTCTTCCTTTGTCCTTTGTACTCCATGTTCCCAATTTTTGTGTTAATCTTTTATCTTTGACCCGTATTACTCGTGATTTAAATTGTAGTGTGACGTTTTTTTCCTGATCATTGTTGTTTTCAGGACCTTATCACGAGGAAGAGGATTGGCAGTGGTAGAGAGGAACATGGTCTCTACATTCTGGATCAGACAGAGAAGCTAGCTAATTCATCTATCCAATCACCATCCACCAAGGACGACATTTGGCTGTGGCACCGTCGCTTAGAGCATCCCTCTTTTTTACTACTTAAGAATTTATTTCTCTCTGTTTTTGGAAAAAATAATGTATCAGATTTTCAATGCGAGTCTTGTCAACTTGGAAAATAACACAAAACCTCTTTTGCTCCTTTTAATAAAAGTTTAGTTCTCTTTTCTTTGATTCATTCTGATGTATGGGGTCCATCCCGTTTTGTGTCTTTAACCGGTCATAAATGGTTTGTTACCTTCATAGATGATTGTTCCAAGGCCACTTGGGTGTATTTGATGAAAGATAAAAGTGAGGTTTTTTCTGTGTTTCAAAACTTTCATAAAATGATTTGTACTCAGTTTAGGGCGGTTGTCAAAATTATACATTCTGATAATGGGGAAAATATATTGACTCTGGCCTTGCCACTTACTTCGCGACACATGGCATTATTCACCAGACTTCATGCACTAATACCCCTCAACAAAATGGTGTTGCCGAACACAAAAATCGCCATCTCCTTAATGTTGCCCGTTGTCTATCCTTTGATATGCAGGTTCCTCGATCCTATTGGGGGAAGCGGTTCTCACTACCGCTTATTTGATTAATCGTCTTCCTACCCATGTCCTTCAAAAACAAACACCTCTTCAAGGTTTGCTCAAGCTATGCTGAAATATGGGTTCAAGCAGAGTCAAGCTGATCACAACTTGTTTGTGAAACACTCCTCACATGGTAAGACCACAGCTCTCATTGCTTATGTTGATGATATTGTTCTGACAGAGGATGACATTGAGGAGATCCCTCGATTGAAGGAATACTTAGCCAAGGAGTTTGAAATCAAAAACTTGGGTTGTTTGAAGTATTTCTTGGGTATCGAAGTAGCTAGGAGCAAGGATGGCATCTTTATATGTTAGAGAAAGTATGTGCTTGACTTGCTAAAGGAAATTGGACTGCTTGGAGGTAGACCATGTGATACATCTCTAGAACCAGGGTAGAAGCTTAGTGAGGATCAAGAGGGAGAGCCAATGGACAGGGGGAGATACCAGAGACTAGTGGGCAAACTCATATACTTATCCCACTTACATCCAGACATTGCCATTGCCGTGAGCATGGTAAGCCAGTTGATGCATGCTCTTAAAACTTCACACTTAGAGGCAGTTATAAGAATCCTGCTATACTTAAAGTCTTCTTCTGGAAAGGGTCTCTACTTCTCAAAATATGGCCATCTCAGTGTAAAAGCATTTAACGATGCAGATTGGGCAAGATCAATCACTGACAGACGATCAACTTCTGGATACTACACATTTGTTTACGGCAACCTAGTCACATGGCGATGTAAGAAACAAAATGTGGTTACTCAATCTAGTGCTGAGGCAGAATTCAGGATTATAGCTCAGGGGGTATGTGAGTTACTATGGATTAAACTATTGTTGGGAGACTTGGGAATTCATCAGACTAACTCCATGTGACTATACTGTGACAACAAGGCCGCAAACAACATAGCTCATAATCCAGTTCAGCATGATAGAACTAAGCATGTGGAGATTGATAGGCACTTCATTAAGAAAAAACTCACTAATGGCACCATATATATTCTATTTGTGAAGACTGGAGACCAACTAGCTGATGTTCTCACCAAGGGATTAGGAAGCAAATCCTTTCATGGCATTCTCAACAAACTGGGCATAAGAGATATCTTCGTACCAGCTTGAGGGGGAGTGTTAGAATAGGAATTTGTTAGAATAGAAAATAATAATTGTATTCTTATTATCTTATTTATTCTTTTTTGGTTACTCAGAATTATGCCTATAATTCCTCAGAATTATCAATATAAAAGGGAATTGAGTTTAACTCATTCCCTAACTCTTTCTCTTCTCTAAACCTACAGTTGTTACAGTTACAACACCATCGGATGCATGACTTCTGCCAAGGGGGTTTGGCTCCTTCATAATTTGTGAATGTGTGTGTGCAAGACAAGGGGGATGGAAGAAGCATTTATAGCGATGGGAAGAAAAATAATGATCATATTATATATATAATTATATATATTACCTGGTATGCCAACTTAGTCCGAACTAAATCAAGCGGATAAGTAAACAGCACAGCAGTTCCTCCAGCAAATGATCCTGCCACAAGATCAAGGACGGGGCCCCTTCCAACACCGGGGAAATTTTCTATAATCCATCGACGATATTGCTCATAAGCCATAAAATGCAATGCTGCATAAGGAACAATTCGAGCGACACTAGCTCCATTCCCTCTGAAGATAAATTCTCCTCCATAAGCACAAATTCGATTGAATTGCAAGCCAAATTTGCATAGTTAAAAAAATGCTAAAAATCATAAAGATAGGAATGGAGATTTCCACCTGTAAAAGCCAAGCACACCTTCTGTTCTTGCAATCTTCTTAAATGATCCCAATAACCCTACACTATGAAATTCTGCTCTTCTGGTCTGAAACAAGAAAAAAGGGAAAACTAAAAGAAAAATGAGTTTTTTAACCTTTACAGATTGTTTGTTTCCTATTCAATGTCTAGACAAAATCCAACTTCACAATTTATGCTTGTAATAGATAAAGAGTTCATATTTCCAAATAATGCATTGATAATACATTCTTGATCCCCCAATGTTGGTGCAATCAAGATGAGTTTGGTAATGAGCAATTTTCTCAGGTTGGGTTTCATCTTGGTTCCCTTGATCACACTTCTCAGTTCCATTACACATATGCCAACCCATAAGGCCATATCACACTTACCATTGGCTCAACTACAAAGTTCATGAACAACCACAAGAAGTAAAGAAAACTGAACTTTTCCTCTTTAAGAAACTTCAATCTGAGCACACTTGCATATATTTTACCAATTACATCAACCTACATTAGCCTGCATATCAGATTATATCACAAATAACAACTGGAACTCACAAATCACAGCACTAGTATTTGAAGATGTCATCACAATTTTAAAGTGCCCCTTCATTTTCATAAAATCTAAGCAACCTGGTTTTTAGAATGGGATCCACATCCCATCCACTTGATACTGATCAGGCCATCACTCTGTTAGGGAACTACCTACTATATAGTTACTAATAAAACCTTAAAACACTCATCAACAGAACATTATAAATCTGTACTGGAAAAAGAAATCCATATACTAGCTGATCACATCTACCTAGCCTCAACCAACAACACAAATTAATTCATAGTCTTTATCAACAAAACTAACCAAGCTTGAAGAAATTTGAGTAGTGCCCAAAACTAACTTAACTCAGGGTATGAAACATATGTTGAGATCATCCACAATCTAGATCTAACAATGAGAATACAACTGTTTCCATTAAAATCTATAAAGTGGTAATTAATAGACTGACATTGTTACCTCAGGCCTTGGGTGAAATAGATAACAGGCTTGAAAAACAAAAACAGGTAAACAAGCATAGGATTGGCGAAATGACAGCCAAATCTTGATCTCGTTGTTCAAGACTCAATGTTATGTTTCGATATGGCTTCTATCACTTGCAAAACAAGCCAGATGAACCCACAATCATAGGATTTTTTTCTATCTAAAAGCAATAATATCCCCAAAATTTCTATGGTAACTCATGTATGGTGGATTCATTGGAAAGGGCCATGTGTAGGCATCTATTCTAAATGATTGTAGATCAAATTTGAGGTTTTACTTACATACACAATTCATAGGTGAAAGGCTTATTCTATTTACAGATAGCTTGTAGACATAACAGTCAAGCAAGAAGTACATAGTTAAATAACAAGAGATCATATTCTCTTTCATTGGACTTCACAAATCAATGTTTTGGCCACTTAGGTCATATTAAACTTCTCACAACCAAATAGAAGAAAAAAATCCTGCCTTAATAGTTGGATAAGAAAACTAACCAATACTTTTCCATCCATCAAATACTCTTCTCGCTTAATGGGATTTCACCACGAGTTAAAATACCTCCCTAAAAAGTAAGTAAATGATTACAACTAGAGGCTCAGCATTTGAAAGTGAGATCACCACGGGCTTTAGAAGAGGTAAAGATCACCACTCCCAAATGAAGCCATGATCTTATATACAGTACCACCAAACCAACCTTGGTACTTCCATCTGGCAATCTAAATCAATTAGAATAATCTATCTATTAATGCAATCTCTGATCATAAGCAGTATTTATTTACTCTTCCACTACATTAAAAACATATGTTGCTAGTTTCATTATTAAATTCTATCTTTTATTTTCCCCTTCGGTCTAATCTGACCATTCTTGATTTACAGTTGGAGTTCATTCAGCTCGATTTACTCGAATTTTGACAATGTGATGGATCACAACATCACCTACCTCTATGCATTAAATTCAAGCAAAAATTCTTGTAGAATGGAATATAACTGAAACCCAAAATCTTCAGTACAAAGTAATTATTATCATAATTCCACACAATTTTCAACAGACTTCCTAAACTCCTACACTCTAAATTGTGCTAAATAACCAAAACCAATCATCCTCAATTAAAAAAATGATAATAAACAAAAACCCATTAAAAAAGGAGCAGAACCAAGAAACTTAAAGAGATGATCTAAGGATCAAAATCAAGAAAAGCAAAGCAGCAGATATAATAATTGCACCTGAAACAAGATCTTGACACGTTCAAGGGGTGCCACGACAGTCTTTGCAAACCCACCAGCCACACCTCCTGCAATCAACTCCTTCGCAAACAGAGGCATACCCTCTATGACCCCATCCCAGTACAAACCCCCCTCCCCTTCTCTCTTCTTTGCCATTCCACAACAGCTCTAGAGAGAGAAAGAGAAAGAAAGAAAAAGAGAGAGAAAAGGCTATTGTTTTGTGATTTGATTGTTCAAGAAACAGGGAAAGAAACAGGGAAGGGGAAAGGAAAGAGAAATCGAAAACGTTTCTGCTTTCTGTGCTGTTAAAATTTGTTGGTATTTGATTTTTTGTTTTGATTTTTGGGGACATTTATATGTTTTTGGACCACTGAACAAGTCAAGAAAAGCCCACAAATGCCTTGGAATCTAAAATGAAGAAGGACAGACGTCAAGAAAATGGAGTTGAGATCCCCTTTCCAACTCTCCCTTGCAATCTTTTTTGTCACGGTTAAAATATTCAACGATTAATTTTAATTTTTTTATTTTTTATTTATTTTTTTATGGCCATTAGATGTTGCAACGGCTGATCTTAACCGTTAGAAAAGAGGATTGCAAGAAAAAATTGCAAGGAAGAGATCCCAACTCAAGAAAATGCATTGGTTGATGGGTTATGTTTAGATGTTTCCAGTCCTATTCTACTTTTGATGAGAAAGAGGAATAGAGAGTGTTTTAAAGCATTTCCAATGGTTTATTATCAAATTTGAATAAAAATATCACCAATTCCTCTATTTGATATTAGATGTTCCAACGGAGCTTTCATCAAACCACAAGACGTCCGGGGGGTCAACCGGCCGGTCGACCGGGAAGAGCAAATTTTTTTTTTTTTTTTTGCCTTCATTTCTGTTGTCATTTGTTCCCTTTCTCCATCCCTTTTCCTTCATCTGTAAATAATAATAATATCACATGGAGATGGATGAGGGAAGTATACCAGATAAATATTTGGCCACAACAATCAAATCAATCATACATGAACAAACTACAAGCCCACATTCAATCAAGATGCATAAGAACAAAATTATAAATATACCAAATATTGTAGGCGTGAGGATGCCATCGCCGATCACCATACAAGCCCCAATCAAAGCCAATACAAGTAAACATTTTTGAAACACTCTCTGCCTCTGTAGTGTAGATTGCAAACTTGACCCAAAAGTGGTTGGAGAAGTACAAAACAAATGTGCCCCCTTCGCCATTATCATCGGCTCTGAGCACAATGAACACATATTTAAGAAGTGTCCAAAACACAAAAGATAGAACCCCAAAAATCTCTTCATTGGTCTCTTAGTGTGTAATGTCTTCAGCAAAAGTACTTTTGTATACATAAAGTGGAGATGTGCTCAAATCTCCATAGACAACTCCAAGGCTCTAATAAGCCAAAATCAATACTGTCCTCCAAGATTATTTTTGCAGCAGATGATGATAAATTGATCGAACCTATACTCATGGAATTGGAAATGGAATTGGAATTGGAATTGGAGGTATAGAGTGGATCAAATATAAGAATTGAGAAATAAAACATGATGGAAATGGATTTAAGAGAAAATGGAAATGGAGTAAAAAAAGATGCTGAGGTGGTCAACCTAGGGGTCGACCGATGGGCCAACCTGTCAGTGTAAATTTTCACAATTTTTTGTCTTAAAATGATTATCCGAGGGACATCCGGCCGGTCGTCTCGTGGGTTTAACTCAACGGCTACACACAGTAAATTGGTGAAAAGGGTGAGCCCTCCTCAATATAATGAAAGGTTTGATATTTTCTCATTTTGATACCGTTTTGGTGCAACCGTTGAAGCACAAAAAGCCCCTATTTTTCATCAAATTTGAATTTGATGATGGATTTGGTGAATGGTTGGAGATGGTCATTGGACAGGAATTGATCACAGTCTAATAATTAGAATTGTCCATTTAGGGTTTGTTGGGAATGTGAGTTGGCTTTTTGGTTTAGTTTTTTGGTTATTTTAGGTTGGGGCTAAAAAGTTTCGTTTGGGATAAGTTTTTTTTGGCTTTTCTGACTTTTGTGAGAGAAAAAATAAAATAATTATAGTTTTGATATGATATTTTGTCCTATTGGGCTAAAAACCTATTATGTATTTTTGTGACTAAAATAGCCAAAAAAATCAAAAAGCACAAACGAAGACTTAGAGTGGTGATCAAATCAAAATTTGTTTTTGATAGACGTAAAAATGGTCACTTTTTTAATTTTTTTGCCTTCATTAAAATTTATTTTATTTTATAGAAGCTTTTATATTAAAAATTAAAATCGGTTTAAGATTTAATTCTTAGTACTCATACTTGGTCTATTAGAGCATCTCCAACAATTCACTATTTTTTCATCAAATTTGAGTAAAAACAAAAGGTCGAGTTTCTTAATCTGATATCAGCCGCTTCAACGGTGCATTGTAGCTTTCATCAAAAGACAATGGACGTCTGGGAGGACGACCGGCTGATCGACTGGACAAGGAAAATGAAATTTTTTTTTCACACTCAAAAGCATCACCTAACTTTTGTTTCCACACTCGAAAACACAGCAATTTCAAACATCTTGTTCTCTGTTGGTGTCCATCTTGTGCTTTTACTCTCTTCAATCAACCAATTCAAGCTCGGAAGATACGATGCTGATGATAAAATCTCTATTCCCCACCTCATCACATCAAAATACTCAACTAATACTCTCTAGTAATGATCAATTTTGGATGGAAGATTCATCTGGGAGAAAAATGATGTATGTTGAGCAAGAGAGAGGCAAAGGAGACAAGAAACGCAGAGAGATGGAGTTTGATTTTACAATGGTAGTAATATCAGTGTTAAATCAAGAAGCATTTGCAAGGAATCAGAATTCAGAATCCCTTTTTCTCAATAGCCAACCCTCTCTCAAGAATCTTGAAAAGACCCACCTTTTCAAAATCAGAAAGAAAGTATCCAAAAATTGAAATAATTAAAGAAAAAAAGAGTTAAAAAAGAATTATCTCCTCTTAAGACAAAATAAAAACCCTAGAACTAACTACAGAGCTTTGAACCTAGAACTTTCTAGGGAAAAAAAAGTGGGAAAAAATTGGAAGAAATTGAAATAGAGGCTTGTAGAATTGAAACAGAGGAAGGGTAATTAATAAGTGAGAAAACTTGACACTCTGTTTTCTTCAACTTCAACCTCTTGATATCCTAATTAGGAGAGAGAGAGTGAGAGAGAGAGAAGCTGAGAATATATGGCAAAGGGCAGTTCATACGGGACTTGGAGAGTACAAGGGAGAGTACCCAAATTTTCACTCACTTTTGTTTCCTGAAAAAAAGATACAGAGGTGGTCGATCGGGGGATCGACCTCGCAATGTAAAATTTTCACAAAATTTTGCTTTAGGTGGTCATCCGGGATGACATCCGGCCGAACGTCCGGCCGGTTGTCCAGTGGGTCCACACTCAACGGCTATACATAATAAATTGCTGAAAGGTACAATAGATCTTTAGTTTGGTTAAAATTTTGGGGCTTTCTCAATTTGATACCATTTTAGTGAAACCGTTATAATACAAAAAGTGCCTCTTTTTTACCAAGTTTAAATTTGATGATAGATTTGGTGAGCAGTTGGAGATGGCCTTAATGAAACTAATATCATAATATTATACATATACATATATATATAAATATAGAGAGAGAGAGAGAGAGAGCGCGCTACATTAAGCTACAATATATACATAATTATGACATTTTACTAGCTAATATTATGATTTTATATGTTGACTTGAATTTATTAAATTTCATAAAATTTATTTACACTAGTGTCTTAATTAATACAACATAGTGCACCACATACGTCAACAATTCAAAAATTAAATCATGTTAATGGACATATTTTCAATTATGGGGTAGGATTATCTGTATTTATTTTCATTGTTTCATGTATCAAATCATCACCCAACCATATAATGTGTCAAATAATTATTTTTAATTGAAAAAAATGTTTTTTTGTTGAGAGTTATTGGTCCTTACCATGCGGAGCAAAGCACGTGATCATTGATGTTTCTAGAATTTGGTTTGAGATCGCTAATATGGTTACTATTTGATTAGCATTTATGCTTGGACCAATTAATTGAATCTATTTTTATATTCATTTGTTGTAACTCCACATCATTGTGAGCTTTTTTATCATAATTATCCTCAATGAGGCATTTTTAAATTTTTTTTGGAATTCAAACAAAATTAATGCATGTTTGAAATTATTTTATGAGTTCTGCTTATAATTATTCAAATTAATTTATAAAGTATTAAATGACAATATGAAATCAAAAGATTAACATGATATAGCTACTTGGGTGGTTATATGGCAAAACTAGTGGGTTGAATTGATTCTATTGAAAACTCATTGATTTTTTTTTTTTAAAGAATGTTTTCCTATATATAATTACCCAAATCTTTTGGAAGTTTTATAAATTGAATCTAGTGAAATAATTAGAAAAACTAAATTGATCAATTATTTTGATATAGTTTAGACTTGAGATTTGATGGTCGAGCTCAAATTTCTCATTCATAAAGTGGTTACAAATTTTTTTTTATTTTTTATTTTTTCAATTTCCTATTTAACTACAAAGGCCTTTTCGTTTCCTCATAAGAAGGGTTGGCATTTATGGAGGGCACTATTGTAATAAAATGATATAACTTCAAAATAATTACGAAGATATGGAAGTACAAAATTTAATTATACAATGTAATACATGAATTACTTATACTTTCATGATATTATAATTATTTTGAGTTGATACAATTTTTTCACAGTTCTTTTTTTTTTTGGCTTGTTCTTAATTTCATACAATTTCAAATTTCAAAAAGTTGAGATAGGCAAAATTGGATTTGAAAAGCTCTCAATAGTCGTGTGTGGAAAGTTGACTATTTTGATAAGTTAAAATAGTTGTGTATTGGAAAAAAGTATTAGGTTGCGTTTGGTAGAGTTTTGTAAATATGATTTGAGAATATGAGTTGTATTTTGAATTTGTGAGTTTTGAAATTATGATTTAAGTGTAGAAAATTTGTTTACTAAATGAGTTTTGAAAAGAGGTTTCAAATTGAGTGATGTGACATAATTTTTATATAAAAATTTACAACTCATAACCAAACATAACCTAAAATTTTATTCAAAACTCATAAAAAAAATTTAAAAAAAAAATTGAAAATATTTTTTATTTAACATATAAAAATAACAAGTGTGAAAAAAAAAAATCAAGAACACTGTTTCGGTCAATCGGCCAGACGTCCGGAGGGACATCTAGGTACACAAATTTTCAAACGCGGGTGTGGAAATGTGTTTTGAAAACCCCAAACAAACGCCGCACTCGATACTGAATGTAGAAATGTGTTTTGAAAGCTGTACCAAACACAACCTTAAATTTTTTTATAATTTGATGTGAAGTTTACGAGAG